AGAGAAAACTATGCTAAACTCTTGTTTGAAGGTCGTTTTAAGTGATTATTCATTAACACTCTATTTTCAGTTAATTTGTGGTGGTGGTGGTGGTGAGTAGGAAAAGGAAGAAAAAGATTTCTGTTTTCTAACGTTATACTAGTGAAATTTATTGATAATTTCTTTCTTTACTCTAAGATTTTTCGCAGGATACTTTCAACTGGTATATATATATATGCATACTAAGTCAGCTGAATATATACTTCCTTCATTACTTTGGGTATTTAACAGGAAAGTAAATTTGAGTGGTATTTTTTATCAGCCCCTCAAGTTTCTCATACTTACTGGTTGTACAAACAGGTGTCTTAAGACGAGGGTTTAAATGCACAGACATACAAATATATATACATATATATATTTGCATATATGTGTAATGGTTAGTCAAGTGTACTTATTTCTGTTCCGTTCCCCGATTCTCCACATCCCTCTTCTTTATAATCCTATCCCAGCTTTACTAAACTTTCGCCCTTAATTGGGCGTTGACTTAAGATGAACATAATATAAAAATGTGACCTCAATGACGTATACACGTAGATGAATACAGACATACTTCAGCCGCGTGACTGAGTTAATCCATTTTCTTATCCATTTTATGTGAACGTTATATTAAAGACAAGTTACATTCTGAACATAGAAAAAGGCACAAGGATGTCCACATTTCTATCTTACTGTAATCTGTCTCTTCTAATAAAAACGCCCATTGCCTTTTCCGACTGTTACACGTAACAGCACAAATTTTTTTCATTGTCAGCATATTATTTTTATCAGTATACGCTTTATTTTTTATTTCAATGAGATAGGTAGCATAAAATCTGCTGACTGGTTTGTTGATGACAGTTATGAGATTTCATCATGAGCTGACATTGGTTCGAGAACCATTGGAAAAGCAACTGGGGGGAGATACTGGCAGACAATTGTTCCCATCGTCAAAGCGGTTAGGACTCCGCTTCAGCAGTACGCACCCACCCCACTGGGGTTCAAAACCAGCACCTTCTGGTTACGAAGTGAGCGAGCTCGTAAACCATTCTTCACCCACTCAGACCCGCCAGTCTAATGGCGAGACCATGATTTCCAACTCGCGCCAGTTCATTATATAGCGCGACCACCAGCCAGTGTGATCTGTAGCGAATATTCGTTCTCACAGTAGTTCCCAGTAGTCACAAATTCTCACTAGAACCCAGGTAACTAACTACACACTTGCCGATAGCCAGCGAGCATCAGATTGATATATATATATATATATATATATATATATATATATATTACGAATTAGCAGAAGTTGGAATTCATGGACCATTGAAGAGGGTCCCAGTGGCTGAATGGTCTATGGGCTTGCCTTGTAACTAGAAGTTCCTGGGCTGAAACCCTGGTGGTAGGTGCCTGCTGCTGAGGAGTCCCAAACTAGGCGGACGAAACAGCTGTCTAACACTCCCTATTGGCTTCCAATAGTTCTCCTAATTGAAGTCAACGCCTGATCAAAACCTGTAACCAATCAAATTCCTGCAAACCAACACATGATGATATTTGTCATCACATCGTGTAATTTAATGTCCACTTCAAGTACAATATTTATAAGAGAACTGACTCAAAAAGTTTATCTCACTAGTAGCTGACATCAAAAGGCTTTAGTTTGGATTTTGTTATAAACGCAGATCGCGGAGTAGTCTATGTATCTGCCAGTGTTTAGTATTTATATACATACTTATCGGACAGACATGTAAGATCCTGCCGGAGGTCATCATTCATAAATGAAGCACAAACTAAGCTTCACTGTAATTCACGAAAAAATTAGCAATCCTAAGGACAGATGATTACATGCAATAGTTGCTTGTGAAGTGGTAAACACATAACGGACGCTGATGAAAATAACTGACTTAGTGACACATTGGCACAACACTGACTGCACTCGAAGGTGAAAAGGTCGACGTACTCAATTCGTCTAGAAGCTTCTTACACTTTCGGTTGGCAGTGACGATTGTTGATTAATTGTCCAGGTGGTTATTTTCTGATACATATTTTCAACCGTTTTTTTGAAAAATATTCCTCATATCCGTTAATCTATATCACTGTTGGATATTTTCAGTCTCCTCTTTTGCTACTGAATAGTACGATTTCACAGGTATCACTTCATAAGACTTTATTCAAACCAGATTACTCAGAACCTACTGAATCAAGTATGCTCCATTTCTCCAGATGCTATACTTTAGCTGGAAACTAGTTAGCAGCTAGTGTAATGTGTCTAGTCCTTTGCTTGGTGTAGACTAAATTCTATCAGTCAAGTTTGCAATGTGGTCACTACCCTAGGTAGCTCTCCATTACGGCTCATTTTGAATTGTTAATATGAGATGGTTGAAGGCGATAGGAAGAAAGCCTTCAACCTAAGTTTGGTGCCAGTCATCACTCATCAGTAAGACGTATTTGCATCCTCAGTGGTAACCTCTCTGACCACAATACTGGGTGACTCGCGTCTGAATCTCAGAAAGGACACCGGTTCCTTCAATACTGCAGATATGCTTTGTTGACTCATGAGTGCCAACTGGTACGAAACCCAGGTCGAGCAAAGCTTCTTGCCCTAATCACCTCCAACCATCTAATATCATAACATGCTACAATTACTAGCTATGTTTTGCTTAAATAATCCTCTAGAAAAATGATTTGAAAGTTGTTCTAAGAAGGGACTAGGTGTATCTTAAACCCTAGAGGAGGATTTCAGACGAACTACAAGTCAGTGGAAAATCACCATGATCACCGATCTCAGTTTTTATCATTTTAATTTGAATCAACTTGATTAGAAACAATGCGCTTTTTATTTTCGATAAAAAATGTTTATATTAATACACGACTCAAACTGAGTACTTTGACGAACAATCAGTCTATCTATCTATCTATCCCAAAGACAGCCCCAATGAACACTTAACGAACATAACTTTGAAATCAAAGATCGACATAAGAATACTTAGTTGTGTATATATTTATATATTTTTCATTTAATTTGAACAACAGATCATTTCGCTTATTGAAAGCTTTGCGATTTAATGATTGTCTCAAAAGTTTTATAAACAAAAACGTGGGTGTTTTTCATAACAAAAAAAAAGGTTTTATAAAATTTTCACTCTTCTGACATTCATTCAGAAAAAAGGTTCAAGAATATTATTTATTAGCATCGGAAGAAGGGGAGAGAGGGAAAAGGAACACAGAAACTAGAATCACATGCGTACACGCCCATACGCATACATAAACGCTGATTAAATAATAGTACTAATAATAACAATAATAGCAATAATAATAATATTAATCAAACAGGACATCATGTAAGAATCGGCACACTCACAAACACACAATAACATACCAACAAATTTATGACTGATAAAATTTCGAAAAGCAGCCTGAATCAACACCGGCTTAGAGAGATGGAATAAGGAAGGATATTTACCATTATTCTTTCATGTTATGTTAACACGAAAATATGCTTAGAAAAAGGCAAAGCAAACGCTAAATAATTATGCATCAACAACAAAACACCAAAGAGTTATAATATAACGCTATTTTACGGGTAATGAAGTGATTTAAAATTGTTATGTAATAAATGTATGTATAAATATATATGTCAAGGCAAAAAAAGAACATTCGGAACTTTAAAAAAACAAACACGAAAAACAACAGATGATGGACGGAAGAAATGGAGTATATGGAGTATAATTTCGTGACAGTAGTAGTAGTTTACATCATGGAAGAAAAAGTCGACGGTTCTTTTTGGCTCAACATAACAAACATGTGTGTATGTATATATTCAACAAGTTTAGTGATTAGTGAATATACATTTTCAATTGGAGGTTTCTCCCAAGTATTCTGTCTTCAGTTCATGCCTCTCACTCACAACTGCTATCAATCACCAAATATGAACACCGAAGCAAAATTTGAATGTATGAGGTACTCTTCTTTTTCTTCTTCTTCTTGACATTCAGTCAGGAATGATATTCTTTGATGATAATGTTTTTTTTCAATAAATCAATCACGTGATATCCATCAATTACACATTTTTTCTGATTGATTAAGAAAGAGCTCGAGAGAAGGAGAGAGAGAGAGAGAGAGACAGCAAGACACAGACACTCATTCAATCTTGAGTATTGTGAATAATATTTGAGATATGGCATGAACAGACAGAACAAACAAAACTGCACCACCTATCTTTGATTGCGCTTATTCTATATATCCTATTCTTCTTCCTCTTCTTGTTCTCGAGGTATATTTTATGATATAGCTGCATATAGATGATTGATTCGGGATCAAGGTGATTTAGGAATGTGGAGTTGTGGATTACAAAATATAATATATTAAGGAAGACAGTAAAAACAAAAACAGTAAACAAGCATATACTTACATACATACAAAGAACAAATAAGGGAAAAATAATAATAATAACTGCTCATCATCAGAACACAGTATATATACTTTAACCAGTAATAAGAATACGATAATATATAAAAAAAATTCGAGAAATTTGAGGCTAGACTTTCAGCTAAATGTAAATGTGTAAATGTGTTTTTTTATTTTTGTGTTTGAAATACTGTTTCCTATATGTGAAAGCCTAAATCAACACAATATCTCTGTGCTAATCAACTCTCTCTCTTTAGTAGACTAATTAATATAATAATAGCATGGTATATTTTAATATGATAATTAGAAAAAGTTTTACAAAAAATGAAAAACGGAATTTTATTAGAATTATGAAACACTTAAGCAAACTTTAGAAAAAAAAAAACCAACGAACAGAGCAAAAACATTTAGATAGTAAAAGAACACTGCTAATATACACTACATGTATGTATGTGTTTATTTTTTAATAATTTTGTGAAAAGATGGAGTACAAACTTTCACACTTCTGTTGGGAATTTTTTTTAGATTTTTTGACGGAATAAACATAAACACACACCTATTTCCATCTCATTTAATCCTCAAGATTAAAAATTTCCCTCAAATATATGAACAGGTGTTGTTTCAGATAGAAACATTGTTAAACTATTTGATGAATTGAACGGGAACGAAGCATTCAACCATTGAGAATCATTTGATGCATTCTGTTGCAGTGGGATGACAACATCATTTTCAACTTCTAAACTCTCAGGCCATTGTGGTTGATTCTCGTGTTGTTTAATTTTATCATATAGTGCACTACAAGCAATGTCGTTATTATTATTATTATTATTGCTACCCTGGCTGGTGCTACTACTAATATTAGTGTGATTACTGTTCATAGATGCATTCCAGTCATGTGATAATGAATCATTTGAGTCTAGAAATGCATCATTATTAAAACTGGTTGTTAAAGAAAAGTCAATATCCAGGGGAATAGCTCCATTGCCGCCTACTAATTCATCCAACGAATCGAAGTCCAAATTAGCTGTATCTAAGCCAAGGTCTTCCACCAGTATTGGGTTATTACTATTATTATTATTATTACTATTACTGTTATTATTTGACGAGTGAATGTCTGAAGCATCTGTAGGGTGTTTAGAATCATTCACGAAAATTTCAGCATCATTTTTATCAGTTATAAACAAAAAGGATGATGATGTTGTCAAAGAACACGAAGAAGGTTGTGACGGTGGTTGTGATAGCGGTGATGATAAAGATGTTGTTGGGGAGTGTAGTGTTGAAGTGGAATGAATTCCCGACTCAAAGCTTTCACTAGTAAACAAATTGAAAGACTCATTATTTTGTTTATTAATATCATTATTATCATTGAATAAGCAGTCTAAATCACTGGTGTCGTCATCATCAGATAGAAACAGAGAAGCCCAGTTAGGTAGGACTGTTTTATCAGCTTCTGATGATTTATTTGGCAAATCATTACCACATGTTAGTGTTGCAGACAAGGATTGACCTTGTTGTTGTTGTTGTTGTTGTAAAGAGTCACATGCGAGAGATCCGCTTTTCAGCATCACTCCACTATCATCATTAAATGGTGAAGGCTGGCAGACATGTGCAACGCCTGATGAAGAATGAAAAGGATCTATCGAGTTTGAACTATGACGTTCGTTAGGAACATCAGAATGATAAGAAAAAGTTGACGCTGAAGAGCTAGATGAACATGCAGATAAGCTAGCGGTTTGTCTTTTAATATTGTTATTATTGTTATTAATCATTTGTATGTTATCATCTCCTACATAGTATGTATTGTAATTGGGTAAACTGTAGTCTTTGCATGAACCACAAGATGATGGATGATTATCAGATGAATTTTCTCTTTTCATTTGTGTATGAGTGTGATTAGTTAAAACATCTGTCAGATTGCTTGCTGCTTTGTTGAGTGATGACCATAAATAGCCGGAATCTTTATCACAATTAATATTACTATTATTGTTATCATCACTATGATCCCCATCATAACTGTCGATGCAGTTTAGTAAAGGACTTAACCCACCACACTTTCCTAAGGCATCTTTCGAGTTCCATGCTACCCGTTTATCATTATCCTGCTTTTTGCTTTTTCTAGAAGTAGACGTTTCCAATTTATTGTTAGTGCATGTTTCACTTTCATTAGTGGGATTTTGTGAGTTGTTGGATGTGATGGGATTTGGACGCGGAAGAGCCCAACGAGAATATCTTTGACGTGGCTATAAAATAAATCATATTGAAATAAAAAACAAATAATTTTAAGAAAGTGTATCGAAAAACAACACATCTTGGCATTATACACAGGGAAACGATAACAAGTGATCTCAAATCTTTAAATATTCCTATTAAGACAAGACATATAAGCGAACAATAGTGTTTTCAATTAGATCTTATTCAGGCTTTACTCTAATTTGATACCTTTATATTATAAAACAGAATTTAACCAATGACGTTGAGTTTGTGGATCAAATAATAATAAAGTGTTAAGTTTCAAGTATTGGTTTGGTAGGGATTTTGTTTAATTGCATGGACGATTTCATCATGAGCTGACATCAATTAGAGAACCACTGGAAAACCTGGGAGTACTGGACAGCTGTTTCATCCTAGTTTGGGACTCTTCACAGTACGCACCCATCGGGATTCGAACCCAGAATCTTCTGGTTACAAGGTGAGAAGGTCCTGGGTTCGAACCCGGGCGGTGATGAAGAGTTCCAAACTAGGACGAAACAGCTGTCCAGTACTCCCAGGTTTTCCAGTGGTTCTCTAATTGATGTCAGCTCATGATGAAATCCTCCATGCAATTAAAGTGTTAAGTGTTTTGTACATCAGTAATAACGATGAATATGATAACAAAAATAATAATAATAATTTAAAACAATTAGTTCCCTTTATGAATTTAGATAAAGCAATAAGAAGACGTAATTTGTCTGAATCGTGTTATGTATTTGCCCTACATATTTCGAACAATCTGATCACACACGGACTTGTCATAGGAATACATATGAAATTAATTAATAGGTAAGAGGTGAGAGAATAGACTTAGGTCAAGTTAAAAGGACATATTCAAGGTTAAAATAACAATGAAGACGACTAAACCAAATAACAGAGGTAATAGTAAAACTGTTATGGTATCAAAACAAAATTTACCAAGGTAGGTTTCACGCGATGACTAATTGTTTTTGAACGCATACAGGTGGCTTAAATTGTCCAGAAGCTAGGGCTTCCACAAACTTTAGGATACGCCCTAGCTTCTGGACAATTTAAGCCACCTGTATGCGTTCAAAAACAATTCGTCATCACATGACACCTTCCTTGGTAAATTTTGTTTTGATACCATAACAGTTTTACTATTACCTCTGTTATTTGGTTTAGTCGTCTTCATTGTTATTTTAACCTTGAATATGTCCTTTTAACTTGACCTAAGTCTATTCTCTCACCTCTTACCTATTAATTAATTTCATATGTATTCCTATGACAAGTCCGTGTGTGATCAGATTGTTCGAAATGTGTAGGGCAAATACATAACACGATTCAGACAAATTACGTCTTCTTATTGCTTTATCTAAATTCATAAAGGGAACTAATTGTTTTAAATTATTATTATTATTTTTGTTATCATATTCATCGTTATTACTGATGTACAAAACACTTAACACTTTAATTGCATGGAGGATTTCATCATGAGCTGACATCAATTAGAGAACCACTGGAAAACCTGGGAGCACTGGACATCTGTTTCGTCCTAGTTTGGAACTCTTCATCAGTACGCGCCCACCGCTCGGGTTCGAACCCAGGACCTTCTGGTTACAAGGCGAGTTAAGGTTAAGTGGATAGATAATCAGAGATTAAATATATATCATTAAATTACAAAGGGAATGGAGAATACAGAGTGGTGGTTGAGAAGTTTTTAATTAGAATTTACCTAAGCCAAGAAAGGGAGAGACAACAATAGAATAAACTTGTTATGTATGCAAAGAACCTAGGATTGTAGTTTCAAATTCTCATAGCTTCCACTATGTATGTGTAAAAGGCGGGTTTGAATTCCGTTCGAAAGGCTCAATGGAATGCGATAGATAACCTTGAAGGCTGTGCCACTTCTACGTGTATCTACAAATTTAGTTGCTCCTGTGGAGAGAGCTATATAAGGCGAACAACTAGACAGCTTAACAAACGCAATAATGAGCACTTTCCTTCATGGTTCGGAAAAGGTCAAATAAAATCCATACGAAGTTCTATTTTGGCTCATTTGATTGATAGTGGTCACCAAGTGGACAAAAATAGTGCCTTCAAAGTTATCTGTCGCATTCCATCGAGCCTTTCGAACGGAATTCGAACCCGCCTTTTACACATAGCCAAAGCTATGGGAATTCGAGAGAACAATCCTAGTCTTTGCATACAAAAGACGTTTGTTCTACCTTTGTCTCTCCCTTGGCCTAGGTGAATTCTAAATTCTAATCACAAACAATCGTCTATTTGCTGTCTTTAGAGCGTTTTGTGACTGTGTGTTTCTCAAGGAAGTTTCAGACAGTTATATACAGTAGGACGCAAGGATCGGTTCTCTGCGATTAGACCACAAAGACTCCATTCGACCGCTACAAGCTGTCTATTATTATATTAAGACATTTAACATCTGACATGACATTTTAAAGGGCTTTGTGTGAGGTACTAAGTATTAAAAAGTACAATATTACTCAATGATCATAATTGCTAACCAAGGTCATATGTTATAGGTGGAACTCTGAACAGTAGTCACGATTTACCCCTGTGTTAAAAAAGTTGGTGTATCCATTAATTTGAAAGAAAAAACTGAATAATTTGCTTGAGTTTCATTTAATTTTGTTTCTAGTCATAAAATGTAAAAGATTTTATACAAGCACTCACAGATTGTCATTACAGAAACCTTCCAGGTGGTCTTCAAGCTACTGTTGATCATCTCGTTTAATAGGCTAGTAGGATAAAGCCGTAACAGGTAGAGTATGCGACAGAATTAATCGTGATAAAGTGATCTGTATTTGGAATTGAAGATTACCTCAGAGTCCTCCAATAAATTAACCTACTTTTTAGCCCCTGTGGTTCACTATGTATTTCGTTACTCAGGTCTATCCGAGAATGATAATCTCTAATTTGGTTTGTTTTTAAACTGCCATCTGAACACTTTATCTATTTCATGCCCATGTTGAAGGCACGTTTTCGAGTAGAAATACCTTACACCTATTCTTGATTTAAACTGCGGTGTGCACATAGTTAATAAATTACATATGTTGTGAATACTCACAATGGTAGTTACTAGTATTTTAGTTCAGTTAAATAAAGAAAAGACTACAGGAATGCTTAACAGGCACTTTACAGGCAAGATTCTCATTGTGAATACTATGAACAGTAATCAGCAGTCATAATAGCACGTGATCTTCAATTTACTGCCAGCGCAGTTCAACGCAAATCCTGCAGATTGTTAAACAAAACAATAGATAGCTACAAGATACCTCTAAATTATATTTTGAACATTTATCGAAAAACACCTTGAACATTTGTTTTCAGTGAAGTCATTACAACCAGTGCACACTGTTGTTTCAGGTGTCACTGCTCTTAGTGATTATTTTGACCATCCGCAACATATAAACTATACCAACTAAAATGAGAATTTAATTTGCAGCTAAATAGTGAATTGATGATTTAGCCGACAGTATAAGACATGTCGTCTCTAAGTCACTCAAAGGATATAGGATTATGGGTGAACTAGTATTTGGACATGTGGTGTGAGTTCAGAAGATGATTTTAGCATCTGTGATGAATGCCTAGTTTCAACGTGGAACTTTGCACAAATGTACACCAGTTCGAGTTGCCACACTCCCTCCTTCCATTTAACACAGAAAGCAAGAGAAGAGAGAGACTCAAAAGAGACAGCGATAATAAACACAAGTGAGGGTGATGGAAAAAGAATAGTAATATGGAAGGTGAAGAATAATAATAGAGTTTTATTGGATGTGACAAATCACAAGGACTGAATGCATCGACGCCAGTCGATGACTACGACGATTTTGAGCCAGCCATATCACCTCCAATTGTCTCCAGACTCCATTAGTTATTACAATCTCGAGGATCCCAATCAGCCAGTCAGAAAATCTACATTTTCCTACGTTGCTGGTTAGCTGGCTGCCTGACTTAAACTAACTGTTGTCACGGATTTCATTGACTGATGAAGTCGTGTTTTCATTTGACCACCACATGCTAGCTAACTCATTTCCAACCTGATCCATCCCATATCAGCTAAGCTAACATCGCCCGTCGGTCGAGGAAAGCGATGGATGGCTAGGCATGCATGCGTAACACATGCCTTAACCGTCTCACTCAATCGATGTCACTGCTTCACAACCTCGTCAATAGATTTATTTTCCCTCCTACTCCTTATTGAGTACTTGACCAATGCCGCAGCAACTCAATACTAATCCCCCTATTACATCTACCACCTAACCTAACATTAAATGTAGATAGCACGCAGACATCTATGATGAAAGACAGCTAGTTGGCCGGCCTTTTCATGTCTTCTACTTTTGTCAATGACTGTCGTGTCTCACTCCTCACAGCCAGCCAGCCAGCCAGATAGACATAAAGGAGAACAGAGAGAACTGCTATTGGTGCTGCTGATGTGCAGTACACACGTATGTCCTTTGGTCGACAGCCAGCCAGTCAGATATCATGTTTACTAAGCCAGAGATGGAGTAATTTGTTGGCAGAGACGTAAAGACACAACAGAATGTGCAAAACTGACTAGAATAATTTGTCTTCTGGTGAATGGTAACTAGCAGTGTGGAAGCCAGCTCGTGCACACTTCATCTTATTTGAGACTCGTTGTCTCGATGTACTTGTGAGCCCCAGTCAGCGACACTGTTCCCACTGAGACTCGAACCCAGTGCCCTACGATTCAAATGCCAAAGGCGTTATCCACTAGACCACTTAGGCCACTGGTATCAACTTACACTGAACATTTCGATCCAATATAATGAATCGACGAGATACAAAAATTATCCACATTGAAACCTTTCTTCATAATTGTATTCGATTCGCATCTAGGCTAAGAATAACTTATTAGCTTGAAATGTTATACTCTACATATCTATATGTGAGATTAAGCTTTCACGGTTTATGGAATACGACTATATATATATTTCATTCCCTTCAATCTTTTCTTATATATTAGTGAAGCTATATAAAGATATAAATATACGAGGGGAGATAATTTCGCGATTATTTTTGATTAGATGTAAATTTTGTATGTCTGTTCAACTAAATAGTTAGGATTAATTTTATATTAGGGTGAGATAGAAAGTAGGAAATGTCTATCTTTTCGAAGAAATTAATGGATGATAGGATGTTGTTATACTGTAAGGAAGTAATCATTCATCTATCCATTCATTCATTCATCACAAGTAAATATAAACGCTCGACATTTTATTGGTTGGGAAAATCTAAGTAGAAGATAGACATTTACATAGAAAATATCCTATATTACTCTCTTCTGCGTTATTTTAGAAAGAAATTCAATTAATCCGTAAATCTGAGTTTTCGACAAGCTAGGGGACATTTTACTGTCATATTATTGCCTGTCTAACATAATCCTATCTATGAACGATAATGGTATATACACCTGATAAATTAAAAGAATGATAAATTCCAGTGATCACTAAGTGTTATTTTGTAGAAAATAATAAGAGTATCAAGCATCAAATCTGAATAGAATAAGACGTCCATCAGTCTGTAGAATCATGTTCACTTGATTAAGACAGTCTATTACAAGTATTTCACAATTGTGATAAGCAGTCACATATATCCATTTTAGGAAAATTACCAGCGTCTAAACATTTTTAAGAGCATTTCACGCTCACTTTGGGGAGTATTTAGGTGTCCAGAAAGAAGAAAAAGAGGAAATGTTCAAAGGGAAAAAAATACAGAAAGACTTCTAGATATACACATATTAGTGAACTAGAAAAAATTTTAAGTCAAAAATGTAAGAAAAGTGGTTTCATTTCAAGCAGAAAAAGATTCCTCCCAGTGATTTAGAAGTTAATCAAGCGTGAGTAGTCATCACTTAGACGATATCGAGCGAGAAACGAAGGATACTTCATATTTCGTGGTTAGCTAAAGCAAGTGTTCATCAGACCTATCATCCATGTAAAAATTATTTTTCTTAGTGTACTGTGCAGCATACGATGAAAAATTAGTGCATCTAAACCACACCCTTGGGTTCCGAGTGGAACACAAGGCTTCAACATCACATCTCCAACTAGTTCTCTTCTCCAGTGTTCTATTTAGCTGGTCCCACGATCGCCCAGAAACTCTCCTCCTCACACGATCAACCTCATCTAACTCTCAGACAAATGCCCACTTCACCATTTCCCATTAGGGTTCCACTTGAGCACAAGTATGGCGCATGAATTCATTCAATTATCTACTCAGTGTCCAATCTGTCTCCATTTCCAACAAAATATTTGTTGAACAATAAGTCCTTGGTTAGTTCCTTATCAGAGTCTCTTGTTGCTTGTTCATTCCACTGGCCATCTGATCTTCACAATAGAGTCAGCGAAGTTAACTGTTGACAAAAGTCTGCACTGACCTGACCTGTTGGAAATGCTTTCCGTGACGGTCGCATCAAGTTTCTCACGCATATAGAAGGACTGATTGACTGACTGACTCAACATTGGTGTCAAAAATCCAAGTCTTGTTCTTTATAATGATGATGATGGTAAGTGCAGGAGATTTCCAAACTGATTCCAGAGTGATGAAGGTCTGTGTTGTCTTTCCGATTTCGGTTTGTCTTGACATCCTCATGCTTTCCGACTGCCTGTAGTTGAAACGATGCTTCCTAGCTGGATAAGTGGAGGAAGTAACCACTTTCAAATTTCCTCCGCCGATGGTGATTGGTGCTTATCGTTGTTGCTGTTGGTGGTGGTTATTTGGTTATCTTCGTCACCTCCGTCTTCTCTATGTTTACTTGAACTCATGTCTTTGCTGACTGTTTCTTCAGCCAGTTTGTTGGTTCTTGTCTGTAAGTCTTCTAGTTTGTTTGTTATTAGACATAATCCATCCGCGAAGTTCAGATATTCTACAGTCTTGAAAAGGAATGCTATACATCTTCAAAATCAACAAAACTCTAGAAAAGTTCTTACTACAGAATATTCACCAAAACACTGAAACACAGGTACTGATAACTGACGGTTATTTTGGTGCTTATATATCAAGGAACTTTTGCTGAATGCAACTTAACCCATAAGTTAAATATCGAATATATGCTCATAAAGTTTTCGTTTGGAGTGGAACATAGAGCCTTGAACTTCTGAAGTTTCAGCAGCGATGATATTGTTTTTACGGAGTAGGGTTACCCAACGCCATCACTTTTTTGGGCTTAATTCCAGTTAGTAAGACCAGGTGATGTTCAAGAGTACATCAACGGGGAGTCGAACTCGTATCTTAGGCACCCTTAGCAAGGAAACTATCGCTGGAGCATTGTTTTAATCACATTTATATAAAACATACTCTTAGAAGGTTTTTTCCACTAACATAATGCGGTTGTCAGATTTATACAAAACCATGTACAGGTGAAACCACATTATCCAGAGACTACCCTACTAAGACTAGAAAGCCTCACTTCTCGTCAGTAACACTATGAAAATAACTGATTAAGGACTCACAGTTTTACTTCATATAGTAAATGGCAGTTGTATCAGAAACTTCTCACAAATAGAAGAGAATATTAGAAAATGAAATTAGACTGATTAGGAATAAACAGGCGGATGATATACTGTTGAATCAATTCTGCATTGTACCCAAAATGGGTCGATTGAATGCAGAAGTCGTTCCTAATGAAAATAAGCGAATATAGTGTCAAATATGCAAGTGTTGTATGTTGTTCAACGATTTGTAGAAATTGTCTGGAAACAAATGTTCGTTGTTTGCTGCTTAGTTAAGTGAACCAAAAATCTTTTCTTACAAGGTGATTTGTTTCTCATACAGAACTGTTAGAGGATTTTCCCACTAGTTCTTGTGAATTCTAAGAAAAAACTGTAAACATAAGGACTGAGGAAAAGGCAGAATAAAGTCATGGGAATAAATTTTTGCTAGTAGTCCTAATACTTTAACCACTATAAACTCACTTATTCTACAAAACAAAAACATACGAATAAGACTTTATGTCTTTTTTCAATTGAATTTTAAACTTTCCCGTCGACTGATTGTGCCGAAGTGCTCGGTCTCAGGTTGGCTTCTTGTGCAGATGCTTCGAAAATGTCTGGGCATGTAATTAGAAGTTAATTGGTGGATGGTGAATAGCAGTGGAATTCAGGATGCGCATTTCGTCCTATTTGGGACTCGTCACCCGGATGTACCTGATGAGTCCCAAATAGGATGAAATGCGCATCCTGAATTCCACTGCTATTCACCATCCACCAATTAAATTCTTATATATGTGTTTTTTTTAAAAGGAGGTGCAGTTCGGTTTAAGTTTTGTTATTCTGCATTCTGATTTATAAAATCTTACTGAAACAATAATTTAAATATACTGTAGTCATAAATTGTTTGCATAAATGACAAAGACTTACTGGTAACACTCGAGTTGGAAGCACCTTCAGTTCATTTGATCCAGATGATTTCACGTTTTGCTTAGATTTTGATCGTTTCAAGCGTTCGATAACTGTGCCACGATTAGTGATGTTTGACTTATCAAGACTAGATTTTGATCTTATTTTATAAGGAAATTGTTGATCTGCATTATGATTATTATTGTTATCATTACGAGACAGTGATTGACTCTGTGCATTTTTGAAGTTGATTGAATTAACGTTTGCATTCATATATCGGGATCTTTTATTCCAGTCAGAATGTTGACTTGATATATTATGATTAAGATCACAATGATTCGATTTAGAGGGAATATTTGGGGATTTATTTATAAAATGTGTACTTTCACCCCATGTTAATGAGGTATCTTCATCAGATAAGCCGTCATCTGACTCCAATAAAGCATTATGTGCCATTCCCATCTGGGAATTTTTGAACAGAGGACTCTTGCGACGATGACCTGCCACTGTTTGTGTTACACAAGACTGTGACACATTGCCAGAGATAGACAATGGAGGTAAAATTGATGAATTGTTCATTTCAGAAACTACACTATGATTCATAAGAATTGTATGCACTGAGTTTTGATATGTTGTATGACTTGATGTCACCGATATTTTAGTTGACTGAAAATTTGCGGGTGAGCCAACGGGTGCAAACGATAATGGAGAAGAAGATAAGGAGGAATGTGAAGATGGTGATAAAGCAGAAATTTGGTGATTTTTAATTGAATCAGGCGATAATTCAGGAACACAGATATTTGCAGTAAACGATGCATGATTAGTACCTGAGTTGTTCATTGAAACAGATGGAGGAGACAAAATTAAATTTCTCGGCAAAAGAGCCTGTTGTTGTATTTTACGTTGCTGTAAAAGCATAGATCTTGGGATTGGTGGTGGTGGTCCAGGAGGTGGTGCAGCTCGTCGACATTTAGCTAAATTCGCTTCCAGCCAGTCAATATGCCTGGGATTTACCCTCCAAAATCCTCCTTTACCCCTTTCACCTTTATCACGGGGAACTTTCTCAAAACACTTATTGAGTGATAGATTGTGACGCACAGAATTCTGGAAATTAAAACAAATCAAATATCACTGAAAATGTATGTAAAAAAAGGTGAAAGTATGCATTCATCATATTATTAAATGAAAATATGTACATTTACTTAATCCAATATTTAACTAAGGGATGACACCATCTCACCAGGCATTCTTCTCTATACAGTTTTTGAATATCTAACAAAGTTATAGGAATTTTCAAGTATTGGTTTTGCATGGAATTTTTTTTTGATTGGTTGGGGGATTTCATCATGAACTGACATCGGTTAGAGAACAGAAGTTGGAATTCATGGGCCATCGGATCGGGTCTCACGGTCTACGAGCTAGCTCGCCTTGCAACCAGAAGGTCCTGGCTTCGAACCCTAGCGGTGGGTGCGCACTGACGAAGAGTCCCAAACTAAGACGGAACATCTGTCCAGTACTCCTAGTTGGTTTTCCAATGGTTCTCTAACTGATGTCAGCTCATGATGAAATCCTGTAACCAAAATAATAAGAATATCGACTAAACAGTCGAAAAAGGGAAAAAGAGAATAAGCGATGGATTACTTGTTGTCTCTATCAACCTCATTCAACAGCCAAATGACAATAGCACGTATCATGTGATCCACAACGGAAAACTCAGCGAAGGCTTTGAAGTGAATACAGGAGTAAGACAAGGCTGTCTACTAATTACCAGTGATATTCCTAACTGCGTTGGGCTGGATTACACAGCACACTCTGTGTAGGGAATGAGAAGACAGGAATACACTGGACCGACAAGAAGACTCTAGAAGGTCTAGACTTCGTGGACTGATTATGCCTGATAACAAACAAGCTAGAAAACTTACCGGCGAGAACCAACAAATCGGCTGAAGAAGCAGGCAACAAACAACCACCACCAGCAATCACCATCGACGGAAGAAATTTGAAAGTGTTTACTTCCTTCACTTTTCTAGCTAGGAGCATTTTTTCAACCACAGACAGTCGGAACGCATGAGGATATCGAAGTTAGGATCGGAAGGGCAAGACAAACCTACATCACTTTGAAATCAGTTTGGAAATCTCCTGCACTCATCATCATCATCATGAAGAACAAGACTCGGATTTTCGACACCAATGTTGAGTCAGTCAGTCAATCAATCAGTCAGTGAGTTCCTCTATATGGGTGAGAAACTTGATGCGCCCGTCACGGATAGCAATTCTAAATTTGAGAACATGTCTTTCCCGTAGTAAATTAAAAACAAGCAACGACTGTGAAAAAATCAATATTTAATATATTCACAAGTTTCGGTAGAAGTACGCGACAGTTGAATACTCCTCCACACACATTGTTATTTATACTATTTCCTTTAGAGGTTCACATACGCACATACATGCATACATACAAACACGCGAACATTGTGACAACGACAACAACAACAACAGCAAATAAGGATCAATTTCAACAAATAAATGATCTGTAAGAGATGCATGATTGATAATCTGTCAATGTCATTAATAAGTGAATATGTGAATATATATCAAACTACTACACATTAACATAGAAGCTGGAGTCAATGTGGTACAACTGGTACAATTATAAACATCTACACTTGACATAGTATTGAAATACAAAGAAACTTCTTAACAAAAAAAAACATAAATAAATTAGACATGTGTCAACCATTTAGGACAAAATAAGCAAACTTTAACATTTCTGATCTAAACTCATCTAAGAGACAGTTTGAACACTTCTCACCGAGATGAATACTCAACTAAGATTTTCGATTTGCACTTATTCTACGAGAACTAACAGTGTGTCAGATAAAACAATAATAATAATAATAACAACAAATAACGGGAAAAATATTGTAAAGAGAAGAGGGAAGGGTAGTGAAGTGAAGGATAATTATAAGGATAAAATAAAAGTATGCTACCAAGGTAGATTTAAGCTAACTACTCCCCCCCCTTTTGCATACATAGATCTGGTTATTTTAATCTGATTGAGCAGGCAGGCAGGCTTCAGCAAAACCAAGAGTAATTTTTATTACCTTGCATATTGATAACTATGAGACTTTTACTTGTGGTCACCCTATAACAACAATTGAATGCATGTCGTGTGACTGAGCCCCTTTGGATGCCACACAATCCCGAATATTTGAAAACCACTTTGGACAGTGTATCCCAATCCCAACACGAACCAACAGATGTTTGTCAGTACGCCCAATGCATTTGCTTTCACAAACAGGTGTAAATTGATATACACATTTTGATATAGCGAGGATCAGTGTCTTATCGTTGTTTGTTGCTTGCACTATCGCCTTTGTTGTGTTAATGAGCACCACAAATCAGCTGCATAATAGGTTAGTTTCATTTCTGTCTTCAAACGACATTTCACTAACTGAGTAAGGTTATCTCCCTTGAAAGATAATTTTATGTTAACCTTGTTTTTAGAAACAGTCATTTCTTCCTCTAACCAGACTCCTTTTGTACTTGAATGAGACGAAGCAATTGAAATGTATGAAATATTTCTATATATAGATCAACTTACAGTTTCATCAACCCGTTTAAACAGAGTTAATATTATTTACTTCAAAGTAGTTGCTTGTGAATATGTCTAAATAGTCTCTATGAGGTTATCTGCTTTCTGCATGGTATTTACTAGGTTGTCATAGTGTGGTGGTGTGATACCGACAGTGTGTTCCAACGGATTATTATTCTCACATATTCTTATAGTTCAATGTTGCAGTAGCAACAGAATGCTATATATATATATATATATGTATATATCCAGCCAGGCCACACATGTGCTCCAGCGTTCGATTCCCGAAAGACGCACCCCTAGACCTCACTAGCAACCTCACTGAGTGGAATAAAAGAAACACCACTGGTACTGAAGCTTTAAAGCTCAAACTCGAAGCCCACTGTTCCACTCGGAAGGCAAAAGAATAAAAAAATACATACTAATTACTCCAGAGAATTTCTCTCAAAGTTTATTAATGTGCATCAGAACACAAATGCTTTTTTTTATTGAAATCGTTCCTTAAAGTTCAATAATTAAATCACAAAACAGCCTTATAATAAGAGTAATATCTTTATTCAATAAGTGTTGATTACGGAATAAACTTTTAACAAATTAACCCGCATTATAAGTAGTCTCATTAGATTTTTCGAATTTTGAAGTATTTCTCTTATTAATAGCACTCACTCACTCACTCACTCACATACATACATACACACACAGAGACAACTACCTGATAATCATGACAATTTCACACTGTACAAACTCAGTTAGTAATAATAATAATGATAATATGAACCCTTATCACAGTGTGAATGTAGACCTTGATTTTTATAACAATTTATATTACTTTTGGATGATCATAGAGCAGTTGAAATAGCCGGAAAACACAGAATCCTGATAAGTCAATGTATACACAGTGTCAAGCTAAAGACTAATTCGAATATTTAAAAAAAAAATGCGGGTTCTTGTCGAAGATGGTTTATATTGCAACAGTAATAATAGTAGAAATATTTCAGCATGAATTTTTGTTTCATCGGACAGATATGCGAATGGTAATAATAATAATAATAATAATAATAACAAATAAGCATTATAAGGAAATGAAAATTATACGACTGACTGTGAAGAGAATATATTATTGTGTCATTACGACTAAATAAAAAAGTTGTCTTTAATTATTGTTGCTTTTTTTCAAAAATATAGGTACAATAATTAGCCAACTGACAGCTAATCAATGTTATGAGTCTTTCTTCAATAATAACAGTTATTACTAACTATGATGTGGAATAAAACATCCACCTTGAAGTAATCTGACCAACTTCCAAGTGAATTGTATTTACTCACGGAGGAAAAAAAGTAAACACCGGCTTACATTGAATCATGACAATATTACTGTAATTTCCTAGCTGTCACATCTGGATATCAGTAAGGCCAGTTAAGTGTATTTTTCTCAATACTACAATTACCATTATATTCCTTTGTAACGAAACTTGTGAATTTCATGTCCACACTGGTAAACTAAATGTTAAAAACTGGTCAGTTAATGCTGGACTTCTGACTTGATGATATTAGATGGTTGGAGGCAATCGATGGGAAGCCTTGGACCTGACTGATAGAATCCAGTCTGCAACCAAGAAAGGACTAAACACATCGCACTAGTTACTAGTGTCCAATCAAAGGACTTCTGACTTGTTGATACCTATCAGGAAAGGCTACCTGGGTCGAACCCACCCCACTTCAGCCTCTTGATTTTCTACTCACCTTCTTCTTGACTGACATCTAACAACCCTATTTGACTCTCTTCTCATACTATTTACTTTGGTTATCTAGTGGAGGAAAACAACTTATAAGATGCAATAATGGGGGGTGAAAACTAATTTCATAATCTTGTAGGAATGATTGGTAGTCGAAATAAATATGCAAAAGATTTTCGTTAATAAATGTCGAAGGTGAATACATTTTGTCCTTTCTTCTTTCTTTTTTTCTTTAATCGAAGACAATAATCTATTGCAAGATCCGAACCAGAATGCCGCTTTCTATCGCAACAAATCTAATGAACACAGTCAATTGAAAAGTTCTAACGTATTTAAATAGTTTTGTAAGACATAACTTTTCGTGAATCTGCAGAAGATGGAACTAACTTCATCGGCTGGCTGGCCATTGGATTGGTGGGTCCCGGTGGGTGGTGAGTGGTCTACGAGCTCGCTCACTCGCCCGCCTGCCTCGTAACAGGGAGATCGTGTGTTGGAGCCCTGTTGGTGGATGAATACCGCTGAAGCGAAGTCCCAAGCACTAGGACGACGGGGACAACTGTTTGGCGGTACTCTCAGTTGGTTTTCCAATGGTCCTCTAACCGACGTCAGCTCATGATGAAGTCATGTAACTCCTTTTTTTGACAGTTAAATGGCATTTTAAACAAGAAAAATTCCATTTGTTATCTGAGTCACAGTAAGTGAAATAATGAAACATAAAATTAGGCCTAGAAATGGTTCATCCTGAAGAAAACTTATCAAGTCGTATTTCCAAA